ATGTTACTCTGTGTTCCATGACATTTGGAAGTATGTACCATAAGAAGTAAAACTGTAAGGTCCCTTCTAGGCATTTTTGAACACAGCGATGTCGGGGTTCTTCTTTGGTCATCGCACCTTTCATTTTGCTTCAGTGAATGAGAGGGACCATGGAGATGGAGCAGTAGCCAGGTCACCTCTCCTTGTTCCTTCAGGGGTTCCCAGGCTGTGGCTCGGAAAACTGCTCCACTCAAGAGCATTAACTGGGTTTCCACTCTGCCCTGTTCCCTAAAGTCCCCCTCTCCGATCTCCATTCAAAGCTCCACATGCAGACAATTGCTGGCCACATGCAGTGTCTGACTGAGAGGTGGCATTCTGGGAGCCTCTAACACGCTCTTCATCATCTCAGGTATCAGCTAATCCCATCACCCATGGCCAAGTTACCTGTGAGATCACATTTCTGTCTTGCATTAGCATCCTCAGAATTGGGTCTTATGAAGGATTTGAAAGCTTTTTTGGTATGTTATACGAGTTCATTCCTTCGTAAGCAGTTTTATTATTACATCCACTTTCCTGACATTTCCGGAGATGTAAATACTTACATAGTCCCAAAGTAATCTAAGCATCATGAAATCTGAACTGCTGAGCAAAATATATTTCTAGTCACCTGCAGAAGACAGAGATGCTAAGCAATCCGTCGCTATCTCACCAAGTAAAACCAAATCTAGAGTCTGTGCCACATTTATGTCTGGTGTCTCTTTTGGTCTTAGAACGTATCAAATAGTATCCAACAGTCTTACTGTGAAGTACCTTGCTCTCCTTTAAAGACATACAGAATATTATTACTTATTCATCACCAAAGAAACCAAGGTTTTGATGAAAGCAATTTCCTGAGCCTCTACCTAGAACCCCAAAGTATATCTTCTAAATTGCAATTGAGACAAGCATAAAATGATCTGCCTCTATTTGGTCGTATTTAAAGATTTTGCTGTCCACAAAGCATTGCCTTCAAAAGAAAGGAATATCTTTTTTAAACGATTTTGTAGTTGTTCCCACACAGGAGTAATGGTGCATGCACTTTTGAAATACTTTCCATCCTGCACATGCTTTTGTAAGACGGCTCCTTCCCTGTCCTTGCCACAACCCTCGGAGAATTGAAGGGAAATGCACAGAAATCCCATGGAGACATTTTCTCCTCCTGCCCTAACACCTGCCCCTGACCATGACACTCCCACCTTCCCTTGAGGAGGATTTGTGCTGTGTGCCCTTCATCCCTCATTACCTCAGTCACCACCAATTGCCCAAGACTCCTCCTGGGTCATCCATTGTTTCTGGACTCTTGTCACTCAAAGGCTCTGAATAGCCAGTAGTCTGCCCTAATATTCCACCTTTCTCCTACCCACTTCCCATCCTTTCCCACTTTGACCCACCTGTCTGCTATCAGCAAAATCTCCTGTATGCATTACCTGCCCCTTCTTTTCTTTAATCTTCTTGCTCCGACACTGGGCTGTCCCTAAGGAGATACCCCCACCCCCTACCCCTCCCCCGCCGCAGCTCTCTGAAGTGGTGGCACTTTCATTTCCCATCCCTCTCCCCACACATCTCTAGAGTTGGGGGTGGAGTAGGAATCCTCCTTGCTCCTCATTGCTCTTTCCAGAAAGTTCTCCCCTCTCCTCCCTCAAGAAAAGCCCGGGCATCTGTGAATAATTACCTTCTCTCCAACAGTCCATGACCCTTTTCAGATCTTCAATCCACTGAATGGTTTTCACTCTCCATCTCCTCCACCACATCTTCACTTTCCTCTCTTCCTGGCTTAGATTCCATGAGCTTCCGTGACATGCCCTTTGCACTCCCTTGTTCCTGTCCCCCACCAAGTTACTTTCCTGACCACTTCTATTCAATTCCACCTGCTCCATACCTGCCCAGGCCAGCTAAACGTGGCTGAAGAAAAACAAGCAACCATGCTGACTAGTTGTCTTATTTTAAATTCATTGCCACACGCCTCAAGTCACCTCTCAGCACCCTGGCCACCCGACCACCAGGCCATAGTCAACCTGCTCCCTACTTACCTCAAGTACCGTTTCACACCTTCTTTTCTTCTTCTTCTCCTCTTTCCTCTCTCCTCCCTTCCCTTCCTCTCTGCTGTTCTATTCTCTAAACTCCAACTCCCTCTCACTCTCAGCAGATGACCTCACTCTCATCCCCCACCCCAAGAAAATGTAAGAAAACAAGAGAACATCCTCATCTTCCCGTCACCAAATCTACCCATCTCCTCGCCACGTCTGCAGCTATACAGCCTGTCTGTCCTCCCTCCTCTTTCCGTGGCCGATGAGCCCATTGTTCCCTGAATCCTATCAACCCCTCCTTTCTTGAGAACTTTCGTCTTGCAATTTTTCCCCCTCTCTCCTGCATCACCAGTTTTTTCCTCCTCTGTGTTGAGTCATTCCCATCAGCAGACGGAATGCTACAGTATCTTCCAGGTGATATATTAGAACATCTCTTGGTCACTCAATCTCTTCAAGCCCCATTTCTCTGCTCCCCTTAATAATAAAACTTTGCCAAAGGCTGTCTGTACTCACCATTTCTCCTTCATCAATTCTTGTTATCTTTTGAGCCCACCTGAGTTAGACATTTACCAACCTGCCCGAAGAAAGTACTTTTGTCCCAGTCATAATGACTTCCGTCTTCCCAAGGCCAGTAGTCTGTTCTTGGTCCTCCTTATCATTCAGTTGGTCCCCTTCTCCTCCTTTATGCATCTTCTTTCCTAGTCTTGCCTGACCTCACACCCTTCTGGTTCTCCTCCCAGCTCACTCTGTTCCTTCCCAGTCTCCTTTGAATCTTCTACTTTCACACCCTCTAAATATTGGAGTGTCCCAGGGCTCAACCCTGTGTCCCCTGCTTCTTCTATTTGCATTCACGTGCAAGGTTTCCATCCATTGTCTTTGCTTTAAATAATATCTGTATGCTGAACTCCAAAATTTTATCTCTAGCACGGACATCACTCCTGAAATCACGATTTGCAGATTCTGCTTTATTCTCTATCTTCTCTTTCATGTCCAATAGGCATCTCTAACCCAGCATGTCCCAAATGATAGTATTGGTTTCACCTCCTAAAGCCACTTCTTTCCCAGTGTTCCCTGTCTATGTAAATGGCACCTCCAGGCCTGGTGGTTCGCACACCCAATAGCTGAGTCATCAGCAGATCCTCCAACATAAATGCCAAATCCGCCCGTTGCTCGCCACCAGCCCCCATCCAAGCCGGGGTCCTCTCTCCCTCTCTCCAGTGGAATAGCTTCTTAACTGGTCTCCCTGATTCTACTATTCTCTCCCCAAACTGTCCTAGATACTCAGAAGGCTTCTTGTCTCCCTGGTGCCCACTTGCTCACTCCTCTTTAGTCACAGGGACTTTCTGTTGCTGTCACACGAGCCAAACCCATTCCCACCCCAGGGCTTTCACATCTGCTCTTCCCATGGCTTGGAAAACCCATCTATGTCTTCAATGTCTGGCTCCTTGTCGTCCACCAGATCCCTGCCACAATGCTAACTGTTCCCAGAGTGCTTGCCCAACCACACTCCATAAACTAGCAACACCAGCACTCCATACCTGCGTTCCTCCATCCCCTAACCCTGCTTTATGTTTCCTTTCAAGTACTTACCATTATACCACATTTTTGTATTAATATGTTTCTTTACTTGCCTCCTGTTTGACTTTGGGTGGCCTATTAACTCTCTCAGGCTCAGGTTCCTCCTCTGTCAAATGGGGATAAAAATAGTATCCAGCCCATGGGATTGTTGAGAAAAACTTGCCTTGTAGTAAGCACTCAATAAGTGCTAGGTAATAGCTGTTAAAATAGCATATTTCTAATCTTGGCGTTATCTTACCAGTCAAATAGAACGGGAATAATGAGAATTAGATAAACAAAAACACAAATACTGAAATGAGTATGACTTCTGTTCTTAACTTTCATCTATTTATGTTTGCAACAATTCTTTGTAGAGCATTGAGTCCCTTAAAAGTCTAAATATTTCAGAAGAAAAAGCTAAAGAGTCGAAAATTGTTGCCTCTGTGAAGCAGGAAGTGGGAGTGGGGCTGAGGCTGGTGTCTGTTTTCTTTGTTATGATGTCAGTACTATTTGACGTATTACTTCGATGGAAATAAACTTGATTTAAAAAAGAAAAAAGACTGGAAGAAAATACCATGACATCTTAATAGGAGTTCTCTGGGGAGGAAGTGGGTGGAATTATTGGCTATTTTTATTTTCTTCTTTATGCTGTCTAAATTCACAAAATGATCCATAATGTATTTATGTGGTTTTTATAATGAAAAATAGTATTTGCGCTTTTCTTATGTTAACTAGATATTGGAAGGCTAATGAAGGACTAATTGGTAGGATGCATTTTCAATATGCTCTAAGTTGAAAAATATAATTTCTGGGGTAAACCAGAGAAAATACCAGTCCAGATGTGCTGAAGGCCTTGAGCAGGTGGGGAGGGGGTGTTTGTGGCAGAGAAGGAGGTTTGAAACAACGTAAGGGAGATAGATGGGAAGGGAGGCTGCTGCTCGGCATTCTGATCACTAACAGATTGGTTCTGGGAACAAAAGAGGGAACACTTTTGTAAACCTTTGAGGTGGTCGAAAAGAGGGCCAGACAGAGCTGGAACCAGGTATGCAAAGAATAGACAGTTTCAGGCTCACCCAACATTTTGAGCATCATATTTTTATTTAAATGAAAGCTTCTGGCCAAAGCAGGTTTGCAAAGAGACCATTTATGCCACATATTGGAAGGAAAGCAAGCACTAAAAGCAGGCCCTCCCCCATGGGGCTTTCTGGAGGGAGCAGGAGATAAGTCTCCATTCACACTCGTCTCTTTTTACCTTGATGATGGCACAGAGCTTCATGATGTCTTTTGACAGACTGTAGAAATGTTTTGCTAATTCAAATGCTTGGAACTTCAAAGTGTCAGGAGATGAAGAATCGCTCTGCCTTCCCCCACTTAATAGGAGCATGCTGTCTATTGCAGGATGGATGGTCACAATATCACTTTGTAGCCTCATCTTCAACCATCGAGAGGGATCGGCAAAGACCCTACTCCTCCTCCCGCACGCCCTCCATCTCCCCTGTGCGCGTGTCACCCAACAACCGCTCAGGTAAGAGATGCCCAGGGCCAGCCAGGCCTGTTCCCTTGGAGACAAAGCCCTCCTTCCCAGCCCCATAGCTGACCCCTACAGTGAGAGAGCCATCCCGATTCCAAAGTTTGCTAGAAATATCATATGAATTTGTTTTCTGTTTTATTGCTGTGGTGACTTTGTGTTATATATACACAGACTCAGAACAAATCTCTCTTTCTAACAGATTTCTAAAAATCTCTAATAGGTGTCATGTGCATGCAATGCACGTCGTGGACCCACATCCAGTGAGGAACAAGTATAAAGAAAATTGTCAAGTGTTTGTAAATCAGGGTTTTTCCATGCACATTTTCCCAACTCAAAATAGTTTGAGTTGCTTTTTTTTTTTTTTTTTGGTGAGGAAGATCAGCCCTGAGCTAACATCCATGCTAATCCTCCTCTTTTTGCTGAGGAAGACCGGCTCTGAGCTAACATCTATTGCCAATCCTCCCCCTTTTTTTTCCCCAAAGCCCCAGTAGATAGTTGCATGACATAGTTGCACATCCTTCTAGATGCTGTATTTGAGTTGCATTTTATTGATGATAATTGGGATAACAGAGGAGGGGAGAGAGGGTGTACTGTTTCTTCCTTTAGAATGACCTACATTTGAAATACCTCATCCAGGGCTTCATTACTATTCCTTATCTGATTGGCTTTTTATTATTACCATTAGATCAGCAGATACATCACTGATAAATTCTTAGTACAACCAACTGTAACTTTTAAGTCATTCAATTTACTTTTTTTCTAATTTTGTCACCTTATTGCTTAAATTTTGAACTAGCTTCCCTTGTTTACTTGTAAAGATACTTTAATTTTACACCCTTTACTTTTACACCCTTATTTTTACACCTACATTATATAAATTTATATAAAATTTAAAAATAAATAAAAGATTAGAGAAAAAATTAAAGGCAAAATATGGGCACATCATTTAGTATATAAGTGGCATAGATTTTAGTGTTGTTTTAATCAAAGTAAAACATTCTGCATTTGGTTTTTGTTGTGAGAAGGAAGGGTGGATAAATAATTAGATATGAGTGCAGACATACACACACACACACCCCCCCCATATATATAGAATTGTATTTAAAGAAAGTTTCTCCTTGCTCTTTGCTGCCCTCCTCCTGTTGAAGTAATATTTTCTGGAACTGATCTCAGAGGGTATGGTAGAGAGCACTCCCAGCAGAATGGCCCCTCTGCCCTTGAAGATGTTTGTCGTAAAACTTTACACCACATTTTACTGTCAGAATGATGAGGAACGTCAGAAATGAATGGGGAATATTTGACTGAAATAAATTACTCTCTCCCAGACCCACGAAGGCTTTTATTTTTAGTGTGGTGTTATTGCTGTAACGTTTGGTCCCACACTAGACGAGAGAATCAGGAACCCCCTCATCAGGAGAAACTTCTCCCTGTCTCAGAACCACGGAGATGGCCTTTTACACGTCTTATTTCCATAGTCCTTAAGAAGATAAAGAGCATTGAGTCTGGGAAGCACAAGGATGGTGTCTTTGTGAAAGCTCTAATGATGTAATAGATTGAAAGGTGCCCAGAGGGAGAAGCAGAACTCCCTCAGGATGTTCACATCCCAGCCATTTGGCCAGAGTGCTGCCTGATTATCTCCTGGGAGAGGCACATAGAAGACACCTAATCAACACTTGTTTGCATGATTTGATTTTTCCCGGAGTGTCATCCTGGTTTACCGGGGACTCGGACCACTGTGCGTGAGGTCTCAGGAGATAATTACACACCTGACGTCGTTTAATCAACCCCACCATCTGTGCAATATTAGATTCTAATTTTGAAAGCTTTGGTCGAGAGGCTCCAAAACATTGTCCCTTCGTGATTGCCTGGCAGTGACTAATAAAAGGCTAGCCTTTATGCAAGAATACCTAGAAGCAAAGGAGCAAGAGCACAACAGGGACTCTCCTGGGAGAGAAAGATGGAGAGCAGAAGAGAGAAGAGAGGGGCAGAGGGTAGAGGAGGTGAGTGAGACGCAGCAGTCGACATTCTGAAAACACGCAGTAACTGGACACAGAGCCCAGTTGATTTACATAGAGCAAACGTGGTTTGCTTCCCTGCCTTCCCATTGAATTTATACCCACAGATTCTGATCCAGCTGGTATTGGGTGGGGCTCAAGCATCAGTATTTTTTGAAGTATTCCAGCTATTTAATTCTAATGGGCAGCCAGCATTGGCATCCTCTGAGAGTTTCAAGAGCTAGGCAGTGAGCCTCAATTTTATTTTGATAGGCTTGAGAAGTGGGTGGGGGGCCTTTCAGGAGACAAGGAGAGGATGAGCACAGGATCCCTCTGTTTACCTTCCCAGCATCTGGCTATGACTTCTACCGAGCACTCTGCCTCTTATTTCTGGTTTATTTCCACGTCCATTTCCTGGCTTGATTGAGAGCTCCTCTAGTTCAGACAGTCTAGACATGACTCATGTTTCTTTCTCCCAGTGTCTAGCATAAGGATTTGCACATAGACGATACTAAGTTTGATGAACTGAATCAAGTGGCTCAGACCATGAAAGGAGAGGTACGTTCAGGGAGCAAGCAGACCTAGTGGGCTGGAGCTGAGGGATCCTGCAGAGGGTATGAACAATAAGCTGAAAGGTAAACTGAGGCTTTATTGGGGAGGGATTTGGACGCTAGCCAAGGAAAGAGGACTTTATCCTAAAAATCTGAGTTCTCCAGACTTCCTCAAGGCTTAGTAATCACCAAGCATGCTTATTAAATGTGGATTTCTAGGCCCATCCACTGAAAATTCAGATTCACAAGGTTTGGGTTGGGGTCCTGGAATCCCTAAATTCTCAGGTGAGTCTTAAGGTTAAATAAGTATACAAAGCACTGCCCTCTGGCATAGGAAGCTGGAGAAGGCTTTGGGGCAGAAGAGTACTTTGCTGAGCTCATATTGAGTCAGATGCAATTGCCTAAGCTCTGAATATGAGTGGCATCTTTGAGGAGCATGGAGATCAATATGAGGACAGCCCACAGGGTGGGGAGCACAGCTAGCTGCCTTATTATCAGCGCACATACTTATTACTCCACTTCTTCCAACACATCTCTGTATTGACAGCGCTGTTCTGTTGCTCTCAATCCATCTGATCTTTTAAGAAAACTAAACCTCTTTTTGTTTGCTTCCTTATATCCAAATTCAGCCTTTCCTCTGTTCTGGGACCAGTTTATTAAAGAACTGTGGATTCCCAGGGGAACGCTTTAATTATACCCATCATTGTAGAAATGGAGACACAAAGTGATAACAGGATTCACTCCCTGGGTCCAATAGGCAGCGTGTGGCTGAAGTGTAATGTGTAGGTGAGAGATTGTTGGGAGTGTTCATTGAAAGAGCTGGAGCAAAGATGCCCCATCAGGAAAAAGGGGCTCTCCGCATGCCCTGCACCCAGCCCACCCCAGCAGAGTGTTGGAGAAGATCTTGTGGTTTGGGCTATTTCAGCCCCACAAATCATCCTAGGTGGAGAGTTGCTTTCTCTGCCTTTAGGGCAGTTTCTGGGTGACTCAATATTTAAGTAAAACTGCATTTATTTTAATAAGGGATTCTTCAATATCAGTAATATCCCTTCTGAAATACATCTAATTTAAAAAGGAAGGAAAGAAGGAAGAAAGGGAGGGAAAAGAGAAGAGAAAGAGGAAGAAAGAAATCAAGACCAACCTCATTCTTAAATCTGTCCCATACACCTTGGGCGGTCATGTCCCCACCAGGATGTCTCTCTAAGGAAGATGGCCCCAGGATATAGTCCTTAATTACCTGCCTCCAAGTCACATGTCCCCTGAACTATAAAGCACCAAATGACACAGGTTAAGGGAAGAGGATAAAGACAAGAGCAAAAAGAACAAAAAAATCCCCAGGTCCACGCACACAGATTGACATATGTTGAGCTTTAAGGTGTCCTTATGACCTTAGCTGTTGGTGTGAAAAGCCATCCATGCTGTGGAATGACACACAGAAAGTCATCCTTTTGATTTCTTTATGTAGCAAGTGCCCCAGCTTCTCCTCGGGAAATGATCAGCCTCAAAGAAAGGAAAACAGACTATGAGTCCACTGGCAGCAATGCCACTTACCACGGCACTAAAGGAGAACACACTTCCAGGAAAGACACCATGACAGGTGAGCTCAGCTTTGTGCATTTCCTCCTCAGAGCTGGTGACTGGATTTGGGACAGGGCAGAGGGCTGGGACATCAGATTTCAAGCCAAGCTTGGCAGCTCAGCAGGACTTAGCAGCTAGTGGGTCACTTGAGAGCTTGACAACAAAGATTCCCAGGAGATGAGGAGATTAAGCCAAAGGTATAAAAACTGAGCATCTTATTCCTGAAAATAGCTAAGAGAAAATGTCCTCTACACACATTTCATCCTCAGTCCTTCTTTACCTCCCCCTTTCCTTCTTTCTTGCTCAGCTCATAACATTCCCTCAAATTGGAGAAAAAAGTCACTGTAGATTTCTTCTTAGTTGGCATAATCCAGGGTGTAGGGATCCAAGATGGTGGATGCAGTATAACCAAGCTTTGCTCATTAGGAATGGAGGGAAGGGAAAGAGGATAAGAAAAGAAGGAAAGGGGAGGAGAGGGAGTAAAGGGGATGCAAGCAAAGGAGGAGGATTTCAGGGAAACCCACAGAATTCCCATTGAGACATCTCCTCTTGCCATGAAACCAACCTCTTATCATGACAAAATCCCAAGATTCATTAAAATCTTACAGTTTCCCTACGGAGGCATTGATCTTATATGGCCTTCATCCTTCACTACCCCAGTCATCCATTGTGTCTCCTTTCTCATCAGCTGGGACTCAGTGGATGCCAAAATGGGTGTCCATCACCACCCCTCCAGCATGCCCTCCCAGCCTGTCTAATAAACAGCCTTGACCTTAACTCTCCTTTAAGTCTGTACTACTCTTCTTGGGGCAGGGCTTGCTGCTCCCATTCGTCATCCCTTCCAGGCTCTCCACACACTCCCCGCTGTCCCAGTTCACCCCTCCTCCAAGAAGCAGGACTTGGGGGTATTGATGTAGAGGGGATTATGCCTTGTAAGCAGAGCTGCCAGAGCCTTCAGAATCTCTCACAGGGGATTCCGCTCCCTTCTTTGCACATGGATGCAGAGATGGGTCCCTCCTGAAAACAGGCCATGAGGAATAGATCTTTAACAGAACAGGGCCAGATTAGGTCATTCATAAAACTGGGATGTGAAGGGCGAAATCCTAAGCAGACACTGAGACCCTCTTATCAAAAGAATCTTAAAAGCATGAGGCTCATTTCTCTCATATGATTTAGGTGTAGACCTGCAGAGAAGCAGAATAGACAAATTGGATGATTTATTGAGATGCCTTCCAGACCCAGGAAGTCTAAGATAAATTTTTCTGATGGTAAATGCATTTACCCCAGAGGCAGTGTTTTCCATGGTAGCTGCACAGCTGCATAAGAAAAGCATAGTAAACAGATGTTGAGGATCCTCACCCCAAGTCAGTACTCTGCCTCTACGTACAGACCCTACAAGAGAATGTCTCACACTCACACCTGAATGTCTCCTGAATGGGAGAACTGAACTCCTTACACAGGACATAGGACACCCCTTATTATTCTCATTCACTGGTTCTTTTGTCCCCATACATGTTGCCACCATTGTAGATGAGCAAGAACAAAGGAAGTTAGGAATCTAAATGCTGAATCCCTAGAGTCAAGACATTCCTCGGAGAATCTAATTTGTACTGATTTACTCCAGAGCAGAAATGACACCAAATTCACCTGACCCATTCGTTTTGCTATTGCTATTGCCCTAGGTAGCCACAGCAATGGCAGTCCAGGATGACAAATTGGGATTATAATTACAAGAATAATTGTGAAATTGACTGCATTGTTATTTAACTTTTCTCTTTAACTCTCTTGCCCAGTCAACTCATTCAAAAGGCTTTTAAATGTGGGTGTGTTTATGTTGAAATAGTTCCAATGGTACATGATCATGCCCTGCACACATAATAAAATCTACAGTGTTTCCGATGTTTAATCTTCCTAGAAAATGCAGGGATTTTGACAACACCGGTATTGAGATTTGTGTAATTTTTCAAATTTATTTAAAGGCTTAAACAGCTTTGCTCTAACTTAAAAATGAAATTCAAAACTACACTATCCATCATGTAGCAAGCCTAGAAGAGCAGTGAGATCTTTATTGAATAATATGTTTATACAAGAAGGTTCCCTTTAAGCCAACAAGTACTGTGTAAGAGTTGTTAATATCACAGGGATGGTGATGGTGATGGTGGTGGTGGTGATGGTGGTGGTCATGCAGGAGGTGGTGAGGTGGTGGTGGAGGTGGTGATGGTGGGTCATGGTGGTGGTGGTGGTGGTGGAGGTGATGGTGCAGGTGGTGACAGAGGAGGTGGTGATGGTGGGGGTATTGGTAGTGAGAGTGGTGGAGATAATAGTGTTTGGTGGTGGTGGTAAGCCTGGTGGTTGTGTTTGCCACGTTCTATAGTGCTCTATAGTGGTATGAATAAGTCCCCAGCGAAGCCAGGTAGGAGCCAACATTTCATACAGGGATGCAAAGGATGGATTGCCAATCCCTGCTCTACAGCACTTTAGCAAGTGCCCATCATTCCAGTGTTTACTTGCAGATCAGATTTCTTGTGATCTCCACATCAAGAGCAATACTTTTTCTCATTCACAAATAAATCCAGGGGACACTTGAAGTACGGTGCATTGAAAAATATCTAAAAAACTGCCATCTTCCTTGTTTCTTAGGCATCAGAGGACATCCTACCATTTCCCCCAAAAGAAACATTCCCTCTGCTGTGGGAAAACCATGGGAAGCTTCACCCTTAAAATGCAACATGGGAAAGTGAAAGCAGTTCCTTGGTGGGTTATAATCTCCTTTACTGGGCTCTTAGAAATGCAGATCCAGTTAGGTTTTTATTCCAGGCCTCCCCCACCCACATTTTCTGGATTCATTTTCTAGTTTAGATGGAATCTTTTAAAATGTCCTCTCTCCTTAGTGTTTCTCTGCCACTGAGGAGCCCTCAGAAAGCCAAAGGCAGCTATTCATCCAGGCATGCAGATCTGTTGGAGCCATTTCTTATGGTCATGATTCTCTAGGAGCGTTACGTGTTTAGAAGCACGCATCACAGGAGGGCTGTGTTATCCCAGCAGCTACATGGCCTAACTTTAAAATTCATGCAAGGGATTCTGCCCTCCCATCTGATCTTCCCAAATGCCTTTACATCAAATGCTCTATTCCGTTTTTGTCAGTGTCTCTCTTATGCCTTTTATAGCTGTTCTAATCATCAGTATGTTGATTCAGTTGGAAATTGGGGCCTATACAAAAAAAGAAAGGCATTTCCCTACGAGTCTGCTCTGAGCTCAGACAGAGCATCCACGAAGATATCTGCTTCATGTGTCTGCAAAAGCCACAAGTTCAATCTCAACCACACAGTCTCCTTTAAACAGGTGAAGTGGGCCAAAGAGCAGGAGGAAGGAACTTCCAGTAGAAACCTCTTTAGCTCAGAAGCCACAAACATGACAGGGAGGCCAACACTATAAAAGTTTATGTTCTAAAAAAAAAAAAATACATTTTATTCTGAGTAACAGAAAAAAACAAAATTTCACCTTGTCCTTGCAGTGACATTTTCCAACAGGAAATTATAGCTCTGAAGGCAGATTTTCTAAGGTTCACTCATTCATTCATTTGCTCAGCAAATAAAGCACTCATTCTATGAGAGTGCACCAAGGCCAGGCACCATCCCAGATGCTGGGGATATCTACAACGGTGGCAGGACAGGCTGATCTCTGCCCGCCAGGGCAGATCTCTGCCTTCTGTGTTTCTGCTCTGGTAGGCAAAGGCAGATAATACACAAGGTAAACAACAGAAGCAGCTCACCAACAAGGTAACTACCACATGGTGCTAAGTATGATGAAGAAATTGAACGGGTTAATGAGACAGAGGGTGCCAGGTGGGCGGGGGTTACTTTAACCAACATGGTCAAGGAAGAGACGTTTGAGCCAAAACCTAAACACCAACAAGGAGAGGCAGTCCAGAGTCTGGGGGAAGCAAGTTACAGGGAGAAGGATCAGTAATACAATATCCCTGAAGCAAAACAAACTTGGCATGCTCAAGCAAAGAAAGAGAGCCAGCATAGCTAGGGCTCCCTGAACAAGGGAAGAGGGTGGGAGATGCTGCACAAAGTTAGGCAGGGGCCAGATCATGCGGAGCCTCGTAGACCATAATGGAGAGCTCGGGTTTCACCATAATCACAGTGGGCAGGGCATTGGTGTATTATAACCAGAGGAAGGGACATGATCCAGCTTGTCTAACAGGACAGTCGCTCAGCTGTTGGGAACAGGATGGATGGAGGAGCGGGGTCGGGCAGAGTGAAAGCTGGGCTGTTGAGGAGGATTCTGTAGCAGTGGTCCAGGCAAGAGATGGTGGTTTTCACAGTAATACAGAGACAGGAGTGATGTGCATTCGACCAGAGACTATATCAGAGTGATCTTTAAAATTGAAAATGGGCTCTCAGCTCTCACTTTCTAAGCAAAATATCCCAAGAGGAGTTTATTGCCCAGCTATTATGTGCTTTTAGTAATAATCATGAGTGGAGTAACAGATTATTCTGACTTTGTGTCTAGAGCGGCCTGTATCTATGAGAGAGTATGTATGGTGTATCATCCTATTTCATTATCCTGTAGACATCGGAAGCAAATGATAAGCCCTTCTTTATTTCTAGAGTGTTTTATACCCCCACTGACACTCAATAACATTTTCCAGAGCTTTCTTAAACCATGACCTTTTAGCAGCTATGAGGGGAGGGATGCCCTGGGCCCTTCCTCTGGGCCTGTGGCATGAGCCTCGAGGGTTCTAGGTGAGGAAGCAGGTACATGGGCACCCTTCCCAGGACTTTGGAAGCTGCTGGCAACTGGAGGAGACCTTTCTTCCTTTCATCTATACCACAGGCTGGTCACAAGACAGATGGGGGGTACCTGTCCCTGTGTTCAGCAGGATTCCAAAGCCTTAGCCGCCCAGTCGTGCAGGGCAGATGCCTGGTGCTTCCGGCCCATCCTCTGGCCTTTGAGAAATGCACTGTCTGAAAGATGATCAAGCACTTGTGACCTCAAATTAGAAATTTCATTCTTGTCATTCTCCAGCTAAAAACTAAGCTGCTGATACAGATTCCTGCATGCTTCAGTGCAGGTGACAAGCTTTTATTATCCTCCGGTTTTCACCAGAAAAGAAAGCAGTAAAGCTGGCAAGATGACCGTCTGTTTGCTGCACCTGCCCTGACCCTGTCTACAGTCTGAACATTGTTGCAAGAGGCCAACATGCTGGGGGGGTTATAGAATAACTCTTCTTCTTTCTTAATATCTCTATGTAAAATCAAGTGTTCAGGGCCAAAGAATTTTTTCCTCTTGGAATGGTCCGTGAGAAACCAAGCTTTGTTAGGGCAAGAACTCACCTCAGGAACCATTATTCCTCATTTGAAATCTTGCCTTCTTTGCTAATTCTTTTCTTCCCCTTTTGCTTTCAGCTCCAAGTACTGGAATTTCAACTTTGTATAGGAATTCATATGGTGCGCCCGCTGAAGACATCAAACATAACCAGGTAAGGGAGATGCAGCACGTTTGTGTTGTTTTCCCCTTTGACTCGTGAAATTTCCTGGAATTGTAAAAAATAAGTTAACTTCTATCTTACATGCAGAAATAACTGAAAAAGAAAATAATGTTCCCTGCTGCTCTCCACTCATGCGTAACATACATGTTGTGGTGGCAGTCGTCAGAACGGCCTCAAATTTGAAAATAGTTTTTGATTTCACTACAACCACGTGCCTCATCTGGTGGTAGAAAGCAAGTTCTGTGCTATGATGCAAACCTAAAAGAAAGCCCAATTCTACAAGTGTAAGATGCCAGTTCCTAGACAAATTGTCTAATTGCTAGACAGGGATTAAGTAGCTCTTGTAACTCAGCCAACTCTCATTCAGAACAAAGCGTTCATTATACGTGATAGTTATCAATAAAATAGACACATCACATTCAATATAAGCAGCTAAATAGAGTGCATTGTAGAATGCCTTGCTATCCAGTCTAGTTGGGGAATGCGGCATCAACATCACAGGGAGCTTGTTAGAAATGCAGAAGAGATTCTTCTCTGGCCCCTAACACTAACCCGTCCAAGGTCTTCTGCATCACAGTTGCATCTTATCAAGATGTCTAGGTGATTCATGTGCATGTTCAAGTTTGAGAAGTGCTGGACAGTAGACACTTAAACAACTGATCTAAGTTTGTGTGTGTGTTTACTTTATTCGGCAAACATTCATTGAAGGCTCCTTTGCTCTGTGGTTTTGAGAGAACTATAAAAGCAAAGGGACCCCAGTCTGGTCATCATGGAAAGACTGACATTCCTCATAACCGTTGGCTGCTAATAACCATTGCCAGAACTGGCTTCTGCTGATGCTCTAGATTCTTGCCATACGTCAGAAAAGTTGGGCTGAAAAGATAAACCTGAAAGCTGTTTGCTTGATCACAATAACCAGATAAAAGTAAACCTGGAAAAGAAATGTGTTGTTTTTGAACATCACTCAACACCCAGCAGGGCAGCATCTTTGAAAAGGAGAAGGACCCCCTTCTAGCAAGTAGAATGTCCTGTGCAGGACCATTTCCAAGAGAACAAGGAGGAGATGTGAAAGGTATCTCCTCGACCTTCAATTACTTTTTTCTCTAATCGGCCTTCAACAGGAGAAATGATAGTGGGTAGAGGAGTTATTCTTTGCCCTCAATTTTCCAGTCCATGTGCAGCCACTCCTGAAGATGTCTTGTGTTGTTTGAGGCCCCTGGTGAACGCCCAAGCCCCACAGCCTGCCTGACACGTTGCTAACATCTACTTGGCCTCCTTCAGTTCTGGTCTTTGCTCAAAGCAAAAAAGCCAATGAATAAATAAAGAGGGGCATGAGCTCTAGAGAAGAGATCACCAGGGGTGACGCCCCACTATTCACATGTCAACATGCCTGCCCAAACATAAAGGAACATGGAAACAAAATGTATTGGAAATGCCAACTCTGTTTATGGAAATCAACCCTTTTTCCTTTAGCAAGTACCAGGTACAGTGAGCAAAATATCTCTAGCTCTCAAAGGTACTTGTCATGAAGTAATAGGACCCTGATTTTGCATCCAAGAGCATAAGATTAGTCTTTAGTTTCTGTAGGTCGAGAGAAGCTCATCACCAGAATTGGCTTCTTCTACACTGGCCTTTCTCTCCAGGGAATTCTGCTATTGTTAGCCCAGGGGTCCTTGGCATCTCAGTGTGGCTGCAGACTAGATCTGCTTGTAATCTAGATTAGAGGACAGTACAGAGTGGTTCTAGGGGCACATTCTTTTCACATAAGCCTCTTCTGAGCATTTAGGCAAATTAGAATTAATGCGCTAAGATGGCATTCCTCCTGCGAGAGTGAGCACAGCCAGCTGTAGCCTCTCCGCCAGCATGCGTCAGAAGGCACTCAACACAGCCTCAGTGTGGATGTCAAGGCCACTGTGTCTCGAGAGTGCTGCTGAAACCCAGCTGGCATGGAGAGCAAAGTCTGCGCCACTTGTCAGCACAGGGGAGACATTGCGGACAGGTGACGGGCAAAGCTGAGTCCTGTGGCGATAGCTCAGTGCCTTCATTATTCCCTGACCGGGTCCAGCAAAGGGAGGTGGGCTACTGGATTGTTAACTCCATTCTGATACCAAGCAACATTTTTAAATGTCCACCAAAGAGAGTTGTTTTTCCCCCAAGAAATTTCTGAGGAAATCACTATGACACTCCGGTGAACTTGGGGAGAAAAGAATGAAGCATTTTACTTACTTTGGACTATGTTATTGGAATAAAATTTGGCTCCACTTTCAGCTTTCCCTCTTGGGAATTCAATAAGGTATGACCATCCTAACCATTTGAAAGAGGAGACAATTTGATTTTCTTCCAGTTGGTTGGTTCTAGAGATGACCTTGTAAACAGCATCCATGATTCAGATTCTCTGGCCAGGTGGGCATGGCCGGTTATTCCAGATGGAATGTTTTCATTTTTGGACTTTTCTGGACCAAAAGTGACCTCTCATCCTCACAGCTAGTAAAAGCCCAGCTTGAACAATTTAAACAGGAGGGATGCGCCGGGGTCCGTTCAGTTTTAGTGTCAAAGCTTGTCCTCTGCTGAGCGGTCCCATCTCCTGGGTGTCTCAGTCACCAGCTAGGCCTCACGAGCTTCGCAGAGGAGGCTGGACAGCAACTCATCTCAGAGAAGAAGCGATTCACTGAGGGAAACTGGTTTGAGGTAGATCTCCGAGAGGAGGCAGAAGACAATGAGAACTGAGAGTGAGGCAACAGCCCTGGATGCACAGCCAAGGGAGGTTGGGAGCCGGGGCAATAGCCGTGAGCCAGGCTTCCCCTGACTCAGGGGAAAAGAAGCCAAGTGCCTGCTCAGCTATGGTGCTCCTCATGTGACTACCTGGGACTCCAGTCTCATTTTCAGTAAATTCTGAGCTTAAGGCCTCCTAGAAGAAACAACCATTAGTGTGAAATAAGGTTTGTGATCCTTGGTTTTTATGTCTGGGGTCAAAAGGTCACAGACATCATTTTGAGAATTAACTACTTAAACTCTCCAAAAGTCCTATTCAGCTTCTACCAGTCCATCCCATACTTATAAAGAAAAGTATCATACCTAACTGTATATCCAGCTGGCAACAGAATTTTTGTTCATAAACTATAAACAAAGGAGTTTGGTGCTTCAATGACCAGTATTCAAATCATTACTGATGACAACATAAACAGCATCGTGAGTTCCTAGTTGGTGTCCTGAGTCCCACTACAAGGTAGGAAAGACAGATAAAACTGCCCCAGAGATGTGGACATTGAGGTTCAAGGAGAACAAGGGTTTGCCTTCAGTCACCTAGCTAGGAAGAGGCAAAGACTCAAACCTGGTTCTCCTGTCTTCTTGACTCATTTGCCTCCTTCATACCAATGATTCTCAAATTTGGCATGAGTCAGAATCCCCTGGAGGGCTGATAAACACAGATTACTGAGCCCTACTCCCAGATTTCTGATTCAGTAAGTCTAGGGTGAGGCCAAAAAGTTTACAGCTCTAACACGTTCCCAGGTGATGCGGATGTAGCTGGTCTTGGGACCACACTTTGAGAACCACTGACCCTTACCACATGGCCTCCTTCATTGTAATTTAACACCCTGAGTCTTCAGCTTTCACCATGTAGTAAAGTTTGAAGATCTGTTATGGGCAGCTATTTCCCTTGTGTTAGAAATAAATCCAGTTTGTGGGCAAACTCGGTGAGGAATAAACACAAAGTCTTCCATCATTATGCTAACAAATTGGAAAGTGGAGAAGTGGCACTGTCCTTTCTAATTTAAACCAAACATTCTACTATTGAGGAAAAAGCTCAGCAAAGATGACTGTATGGGAGCAGGAGCCACAGGACAGGGCACCAAGAGTGTGGGTCCCAGTGATCCCCACATGAGCTTGCTGGTCGCACCTCCCCTTCCCAGAGGACACTGCCTTAAGGCAAAGCAGGCAACAGCCTCAGCCTCTTGGATGTGCCAGGGCTTCTCTGGACAACAACAGATGCTCAAATTCAGAATACACCACTGCTACATGTGAACACCATTCTATTTCCTTCATAGAAGTCTTGTTTATGCAAACTGTGTAACATAAAAAAATGCACTTATTTTTAGCTCCTCTGTGTGGAGGGCTTATCTTTAGGAGCATTTCATCTGCCTAATTTTGAACACTGTCAGATATTCCCATAGAGTAAATTATAAAATAGAGCCAACATTCCTCCGTTGTGAATGTTCATCCACAGCTGACTAATATCCACACCACCAGGCCCAGGAGCAAATTCAGTTCCTCCAAATCCAGCAGTGCCACCTGCCACACGTCCTGGGTAGTTCGTTTACACACACTCTCAGAACTGCAAAACTAAACTTTAGATATGGGACTTTCTGAACAATGCAGATGAATTGAAGAAGGTAATTCCCCAAGGTAAGAGACTAAAGTAAGCTTGTGCCCAACCTCAAAATGTCCACCAACCAGGGAGAACATGGCAACGGTAAGAAATTTGAAACAGGTTGTGCAAAAAAATGAAAGAAGCAGCCACCATGGAGGAGAACCACAAGCCTTGTGAGTGACTTCCCCTGAAGACCTCCCTGTCTCCAGCTCTGCTTCCTCTGGCCGCTGAGACCAGTGCAGAGAAGTCAGACATCTTCTTGGTCCCCTTTGTCCACTGGCCTCCCTTATCATAGAGCCTGGAGTCTGCTCAGTGAGGCTGACCCTCTGTGGTTTGGCCACCTTGGCTCAACTGACACTGTGCTAGTATGGTGGAGAGAACGTCAACTTTGGAGTCAGCCAGACATGTGCTCAAATTCCAGCTTCACAACTCCACTAGCCATGACATCCTGGAGAACTTTTTTATCTTCTCTGAGCTTTAGTTTCTTCATCTAAAAAATGAGAATCAGATGGGTGGATGAATGGATGGAGGGATGAGTGGATAGGTGGGTGGGAAGGGAGGGAAGGAGGAAGGAAGAAAGCAAGGAAGCAAGGAAGGGAGAGGTAGGTAGGTATATAGATATAGACATACATACATATATGTTTGAAGATTAAACAAAGAAGAATTCATTAAATGTTAAATATGGTGTCCACTGAAATAGAAGCAGCAAATTCTAGTCCCCTCCCTGTGTAATTTTCCCAAACCTCCCAACTCTAAGCCTTTGTATGCTCTGCGCTTGGGGACCAACAGCACAGAGTTGGAGTGGAGAAGTTCAACATAGCACACAACTCTTCAAAGAACAGCATAGGGCTCCTTAGCCTATCAACGCAATTTGGTAGATCTGGTCTTAGCAACTTTTAATTGCACATATTGCAGATTAGGTCCAAATGCCCCTCCCATGGCTGACAAACGTTTACACTCTAGGGACTTTCACAGGTAGACAGAAACCTCATTCATTCAGCCACCACTAACTAGAAGTACGGGACATACTGGATGGCAGCTATGATAAAGTTCACCACTTCTTTGAAGAACAGGTCGATTGAGTGTAAATCAATTACATATAAAAGAGGGAGTTTCACTTACTTGAGAGAAGAATTATGTGCAGGCCATTAGAAGCATTCATTTACACACAAAGTGCTAATTACAAATCATTATCTATTAACAAAGACAAATTTCTACAGGATGTTTCCATGCTGAACCTTAGTTAAATTAATTGTGAATTACTGAATCTGCTGGAAAGTGATCAAACTGTGTTTCTTTAAGAGTGTTTTATCATTCACACCAGACCTCCTCCCCGATTACTGCACCTGAGCAAGCTTTGTGCGTGCCTGCGTGCAGTGGCTGTGGGGATGGCCCTCACCTCATGCCTTGGAGGTTCTGCTCACTTCAGGGGCATTGTGCTTGGCAAGGGACCCCAGAGGCAGTCAGAGGGAAGGGGATAACTACACCCCCACATACAAATGCTAATTAGCAGCCCTGAACACTCTTTGTCTTACTGTCCTTAAAGCCAAGCAGAAGGAACTAATTCTTGACTTCCCATATCTCAAAGGCTCTGTGATCCTTTTAACCCTTTAAGGCCCTATATCAGACAGTAACCTGCAGGGGACAAGAGCGGGAACAGGGAGCAATGAGCTGGGCTGTGGGACACCAGATGATACTGAAGACCCCTCCCCTAATTAAAGACTTCATAATCCCACAGCATCCTTGAGTTCCATCAATTCTGAATTGAACCAAGTTGGGAAACATTTTGGTCCTTTGGGGTATGTTATATTTGGAGTGGATTCCCTCTTTTCATTAGGTGCTTCTCTGTGTATCCTTCTAAGGCTGTGGTACCCGGTCACTTAGGCAGGTGTGATGAAATGACCCTACCACCAGGAAGCCTTAATCCTCCGGAGAGGTATTGATCACAGCCCTCCGCACTGGCAGGAAGATGCCTGAGTGACCATTAGACCTTGTACATCTTCACTGTCTCTTCTTCTGAGACTGCAACACCTAGGGGTAATAGAGAAAATGCAAGAAAGATGAAAATCAACTACTTGTGTTCTATAGCTTCTAGAGTAGACCTCTTCAATTTAAAAAGGTTATCTAGTAAAATGGTGCACTGGCTGTAGCAGTTTCATGATTCCTTGAAAAGTTAAACGTAGAATTACCATAAGATCCAGCAATTCCATCTCTAAGTACCCCAAAAATTGAAAGCAAGGACTCAAACAGATACCGGTACACCCATGTTCATTGCAGCATTATTCACAATAGTCAAAAGGGGGAAACAACCCAAGTGCCCATCAACAGATGGATAAACAAATGTAGCATATCCATACAATGGTATATTATTCAGCCTTAAAAAGAAGGAAATCCTGTCACATACTACAACATGGATGAACTTTGTGGATATTATGCTAAATGAAAGAAGCCATATTCAAAAGGAGAAATATTGCATGATTCCACTTGTATGAGGTATCTAGATTAGTCAAATTCATAGAGACAGAAAGTAGAATCATGGTCGCCACAAGCTAGGGGAAGGGGGAATAGGATATTATACTTAATGGGTACAGAGTTTTTGTTTGGGATGATGAAAAGGTTCTGGAAATGGATAGTGGTGATGGTTGCACAGCACTATGAATGTACTTAATGCCCCTGAATTATACACATAAAAGTGGTTAAAATGGTAAATTTTATGTTGTGTATATTTTACAATAGTAATTTTTTAAAAACATTATCCAGAATGATGGCATGTGGACCCACGAACCAATTTAAAAAAGGGAAGTCAATCAGCAGTTGGCAATATTCAGAGAAGTGCCACTCTGGTCAATAACTGGGTGATGTTCATAGCCTTTGCTTTGAGGGAGGGATGAGTGCCTTGGCAGCGGGGGAGGATGAGCAAGGGAGACGAACTAAGCCAGCTGAATCTTCTTTCCTTTGCAGATTTCAGCACAGCCAGTCCCGCAGGAACCCAGCAGAAAAGATTACGAGACCTACCAGCCGTTTCAGAATTCCACAAGAAATTATGACGAGTCCTTTTTCGAGGACCAGGTCCACCATCGCCCTCCCGCCAGCGAGTACACCATGCACCTGGGACTCAAGTCCACCGGCAACTATGTCGACTTCTACTCAGCTGCCCGTCCCTACAGTGAACTGAACTATGAAACGAGCCACTATCCCGCCTCCCCCGACTCCTGGGTGTGAGGAGCGGGCAACACGAGGCGCTCCGGGAACAGTGCATGTGCATGCATACACAAGACATTGCTTTTTTTTTTCCCCCTACAAATTTAGTTTGTTAAAGCCTGTTCCATAGGAAGGCTGTGATAACCAGTAAGGAAATATTAAGAGCTATTTTAGAAAGCTAAATGAATCGAAAGTTAACTTGAAAGTCAATAGAGAGCTAAAGTGATCCTAAATCTGACATTGTGCAGCACCTTTCTAGTTTGAGCTGTAGAGTATTAAAAAGTGCTTTATATTGAATGTGGCTGGAGGCAGCAGAGGAGACGGTCGGGGTGGTGGGGCGTGGAGGTTATAAGCACAGAGCAGCATAGGTCACACATTTTAGGGGGACGGCTTCTCACGCTTTCTTTACTCTCTTCATCCGTTGTGATTCTAGGCTTCAAGTTGCATTGGGGTTCCTCTGTACAGCAAGATGTTTCTTGCCTTTTGTTAATGCATTGTTGTAAAGTATTTGATGTACATTACAGATTAAAGAAGAAAAGCGCATTGTGTATATTACACCAATGCTGCCGTGTTTCCTCATCTATGGTTCTAAATATTGCTCCCATTTCAAACTTTTGAAAGATGTATGGATTTCCAGTTTTTCTTTTCTTTTCTTTCTCCCAGTATGTTTTAACAAAAAAATGGGAAAAAAAGGAATATTTAGCAGTATTGTTCGTTCTGATATGTGAATTTGTTTGTGGCAACTAAGCAAGGCATTCAGCAGTTTCTGACAATTAACATACATCGTTCCACACTCCTTGTCAACAAAGTGCTTTTTCACTGCCTAAAATTTTAGATGTAGATATTTGAAATAGATTTTTTCATTTATACCAGTTTTCTTTATGATGATACAGTGTTAAAAGAAAATAAATTACAATTGATCTGTCATCCATATTTGCTAAGAATGTCTATTTCCAAGGACCTATCTTACAAAATACACATTCTTGCTCGTGTGTCTGTGCGTGTGTGGGTGTGTGTGTGTCCATGTATGTATAAAAATGACCTGTGTGAGATTTTATTTTGATAAAAGCTATTTCATTTGCTGTTCATCCTGTACAAACTTTGTTTTGGTTTTTAGTATCAATGTACATCAGTTTGTTCCTTTCGTATTCTATTCTGACCATCTAGTGACTCAGGATATTAGGCCAGTTGAAGTGAAGTTATAGGATTTTCACACATTCACACATTCTTAGATACCAACTCTTTCAACAGGTCCATTCCCCTCCGTGTTTTATGCCCTCTGAACATGATAAACCATAGCCAACTCAATAATTTCACTTTGGGGCCATTTACTTGAATTATCCACAGAAAATGTAAACTGCTCGCCTTATTCCCCCTCAAACGTTTTTGTTCATGTGGCAAGGAGCAGTAGACAATTATGGATTAGATTATTAAAATTGAACTTGAATCGAATGTTAGAATAGTGGTTAACAGAGCTAAGAAATAAGGCTAACCATTTAAAAGAACACAGGCTGTGGGTGAATTAGCTTTGCTCCTTAGACGCAAGTGACTGAGGCCAATAGGTGCCTAGTAAATGTTAATTGTTCTTGGAAAAAATAAAAAATTAAATAACAAAAGAAATTGGCTGCCATCTTCCTTTAAAACTTGCTCCCCTTCACTCTACATAGTTTAATTCAGCTCAAAGTCTAAAATCAATGGTTCCTTCTCCAAATTTAACAACAATCAAAAGATTCTTTGTTCATGAATATTTTTGCAAATGAAAAGCTAATTTCCAGAATAGAGCAATAGATGGAAATGTCCATATGAATTGTCCTATAAATTACATACAAGTTGGATCTTGTTGTGCTGTTTACTAAAGAACTCCGCATTTCTGGGTTCCGTCCCAGGAATGCTCCAGCCCCTATAGAGAGAGAGAAATACGTAGCACCGAGGACAGTGTTTCCACTTCATCTGTGTCATAGAATGAAACAGTAAAGTTCATTGAGGCAGAGATTGTGGTATAGACATGACTTGTCCATAACCTAATAGCTGGCATAACTTTTCCAAAGGTAAACAATAGGACTCACTCCCTGGCTTGAGTTGTGCAGGAGGAAATTAATGCATGTGTCAGAAAGTCCTCCTAGCAGGAACTTTATATTTCCTCTACATTTTTGTGTCTATGTATGCCTTACATTCGCAACCCGTGAAAACCAAGGATGTCTCTGCTGCCTGTGATTCTTTAAGAGCATGTTGTGCCGCGAACTAATTCAGCCAGGAGCCTCTGGCATCAGGGGTAGAGGTAAGAGAAAGAAAATTAATAGTGTTCCTAGTTATTCAAGCCAATCCTTTTATCCTTTTCATATACACAAACAGGTAAGGAAGGAGAGATAGATAGATAGATAGATAGATAGATAGATAGATAGATAGATAGATAGATAGATGATAGATAGATAGATAGATAGATAGATAGATAGATGATAGATAGATAGATAGATAGATAGATAGATAGATGATAGACAGATAGATAGATATAGATAAAGTTTTACTTGAACTGTGAAATGGCCTAAAGCCCCCCCGCCTCCCTTGCCAATAAAGGTTGATCAGCAGGTGATTTATCATTCATAACATGGGATGTATTGGATAAAAGCCCCAAGCTGCAGGAAACCCTTATTTGTTTCTGCTTTCATTGTGCTGAAGTGACCAAGTGTGACCCCCCCACCAAGTGGCTGCCTCTTGGGTCTCCAAGAGCCTCCAGATCTTGGATTGTCTACTGAGATGGGAATGGTGTTTTTTAGATGCAAGGATGCAAGAAAAGAAACTAGAAAATTTCTTTTTACCCTCAGTCCTTATGTGGACCATACATACACCCAATGCATTTAAGATGTAAAATCAAAACATTATGTATGAAAAACAGACCCATTTTTTTTTCACTTGAGAGTTTTGATGACCAGGGACGGGTTAAAAAACACTTAAACTATACCACCTTGAACAATATTAACACTGAAAAATAAGATCTTTTAATATTGATTCAATTTTAATGCCACACATTAATGCTTCAATCCTCATTATCAATCATGAGTTAGACAATAAAATATCAGACAGGCTTATAAGAATTAGGGTGACACATGGTGTCATATCATACTTGGTGGTAACTAGGTGAAAGTTAACCAATGATGACCCATTTCATATTAATGAGACTCATGCATTATGGAAAGCTGCTATTAAAAAAAGCAGTGTTTAAATTCAGCAGCAAAAAAATATATATCTCAATTTATTTGGTCTGTTTGTTTCGCTTACTTCAGCTCCATTTAGAGTCTGATACTGTCCCCTCTCCTTGAGAACTGTACCCCTGAGAAGTCAGGCGTGGCTATCTGAAGACACTGAGTGTTTTCACTCAGGAATGGAGGAAAGTGACTCTGGTCTGAGAAACTGCTGTTTACGAAAGGTTCCTTCCAGGCTGCCGATGTCTCTCACCAACCAAACATGAGAACTGGAGATGACTCGGCTCATCCCCATCTTGGCACAAGGAGAAGAGAGGCCGTGGCCAGTCGGTTAACGGAAACCTGACCTCACCAGCCCAGCCTTTCTCTCAATACCACAGGTCCACTCTGAAACTTCTGTATGACAAAGAGCAAAACATAACTCAAGCAAAGGGGGAAGGCACAGTGCGTTCTGGAGATCTGCATGTCCTACAGCAAAGCCTGCTGACTCCCAGCAGGGCTTCCACTCAGAGGTCCCCTGCTCAGCCTGCTGCCTCCTCAGCACCTGACATTCGGTTTTCAGACTGTGGTCAGGACACATAATGTGGTCAGGACACATTATGACCGAAACTCATATTGAAGGACCATCTAATCAAGACCAAAATGATCTCCATCTTCTCACCAGCTTAGTAACCCTAGGTCTCTCTAAATCGCAAAATCTCTAAAACCAAAAGATCTTTCAGAACTCACATGATGGCAAAGCCTGACCTGACTGATACAAAGCTCTTAGTCACCTTTATTGATCACACCTAGAGTGACTACTCAGACATTTCTCATACATACTGCATGCGGTTACCAGGTGCTGCCCAGACGCGGCTGGGGTGGGGGGCTCTATGTAATTTACGGTGCACGCCTGAATTACCTTGTAAAATCTGAAAATTGCGGAGTTCATTTTGCCTCAAGAGTTTCATACAAGGGAATTGGTATGTGAGTGCTTGATACGAGAACTGACTCGTGAGTTCCTAAGGCCTTGTTAGAATCAGCTTTTAGAATCGCTTTCCTTCCTGCCCTGTGATTTTGTCCTTTTAGGGGGAAAGTGGCCTGTCTCAGGTCAGGGTCTTCATTAAAGTGTGCAGCCAGTCTCTGTCCCTCGAAGAGGGCTCTTCGGGCAAGAAGATCTTTGGGGTAAGCTCATGACCTCCTCTCAACGCAGCACATCGTTTTGTAACCTGTAGAATTAAATAGCAAGAAGAAGCTGGGGTGTGCTGGACAGCCCTGGGCCTTACGAAGTCAGGAAACCAAGAAGTCCAGCTGCTTACAGACTAGAACACTCCCAAGCAATGACCCTGTGTTGTTTTCCAAACCCATGTTCTAACACAAATACCCACTTCAGAACTGGCAAGGCAGGCACTTGACCCCCAGTCTCCTCATCAGTTCAGTAATAAGAAACTGGGCTGCATCTAATGTTTCATCAGCCACAGAGGATATAGTGGAAAAAAACTCCACTCCCAACTCCCCAGACACAGTAGGAAATGGTGAAAGTGGGGTTTTAAGTCAAGGGTTTGGGCCTCAGTTAAGACAACGGAATTCTTGACATAAACTTCAGGACCACATTAACATCACACATTGAAATAATTTTTACAGTATTTGATTGCTTGGTTCCTCAATAAAATGAAGACAAAAGCTTTTATGAAAATGCCTGGTACTCTGTTCTAGAACAAGCATTCATAACAAAGACAGGACCCCGTAACAACAATTGTTAGAGAAGATAGAAGATACACATACTGCTCTAGTGTAGGGTTTCTCGACCGATGCACTATTGACTTTTTGGGTCTGGATAATTTTTTGTTTGGAGGCAGGGGTGAGATGATGTCCTGTGCATTGTAGGATACTTAACAGCATCCCCAACCCTTAAAAGGACCCTTGTGATTACATTGATAATCTCCCCAACTCAAACTCTTTAATTTAATCACATCTGCAAAATCCCTTTTGCCACATAAGGTAACATATTCACCAGTTCTGGGGATTAGGACGTGGACATCCTAGGGGAAGGGGGCTGTTGTTCTGTCTACCACACCTGGCTTTTGCTATATCGTTATCCTAGAGTCCATGCAAAAAACAGTCTTAAAATAGCTTCTTGCTGTATCAAGATCTAAATTCCTAGAATAAGGCCCTAAAATAATCCAGCTTATATTAAATTCTGCCCTGTAACTGGAATTACAATTATAATAAGGTCCTTATATTTTTAAGTCCCAAAGAAATAGGCTTATTTGCAATGTGGTCTGTCGATTGCAGAGGTGGCTAGAAGTTCCCAGCGTGGGTGGAAGTCAAGGTATTAAGGTCCAGAAGGGGATCCCTAGAGACTAGGATTCTCTCAGGGAGGATGGCAAGGAGCTGCTCTTACAGCACCACCTGCTAATCCCTCCTCACCATTCACGAAGGCCCATGACATCTGACCTGAGTCACGGTTCTAGGGCTCATCCCGGCTTTGCCTCATGGCCCAGCCATCTCCTGTCTAAACACTTCCTTAAAAGACAATCATAACTTGAGGAGTGACGTCAGCTTCATGGCGGAGTGAGCTTTCCCGTGAACTCTTCCCCCGACAAGATACAACAAAAGGAACAGTCACAGACCAACAACGGAATCCCAGACAGTGAAAAGCTAGAGCGGAGGGATCCAC